ACACAGGCTAAGCAGGCAGAAACCCAGGGGCAATCTCCCACAGCTGGGGCGCAGCAAGGTAGCCTAGTGGCTAAAGTCCTCACCTTGCATACATCGGGATCCCATATGGGCACTGGTCCATGTCCCAGCTCCTCCACTTCCCTTCCAGCTCCCTGCTTGTAGCCTGGGAAAGCAGTGGGGGATGGCCCCAAGCCTTGGGACCCTGCACCCGCGTGGGAGTGCCATTCCAGTGCCACGTGCTCAGTCTCTAATCCAACTCTGTTGATTGCCCCTGGGAAAGCAACACAAGACAAACCAGAGGCTTGGGCCCTGGTCCCATGGGGGAGACCTGGATAGAACTCCTGGTTTCTTGCTTTTTGGCCTGTACCAGATCTAGCTGAGGGGGCCATTTGGGGAGCAAACCACAGATGGGGGAATCTCTCTCTGTCTCTTTTTTCTCTATTTCTCTGTAACTTTTCCTTTTAAATAAATAAATATTGGAAGAATATTTAAATAATACATGTATGTTTAATTTCATCTCCTTGCAAGGTAAAGGTCAAATCCATAAAGAGGACACTTCTTCACTTATTTCGGTTCTTAATTTCTTCCAATGGCATTTGTAATGCTAAGTCACAAGCCCTTTACTTTTTTGCAAATTTTTCCCTAAGTACTTGATTTCTTCATGGAGACGGGGTTGTGTTTGATTTCATTTTGGGGCCATTTTCTGCTGGTTTCTGGACAAACAGCAGCAGGCTGCGTACTGGTCGTGTAGCCCGAAGCTGTATTACAGACGATTCACTAGCTCCATTTGGTTTTAAATTTGATTGTATTTATCTGAGAGGCAGAGTTATAAAGAGAGAGAGATGTCTTCCATCCACCAGCTCGCTCCCCAAATAGCTGCCACACCCCTCGCTGGGCCCCGCTGAAACCAGGAGCAAGGAGCTTCATCCGGATCTCCCATCTGAGTACAGGGGCCCAAGCACTTGAACCATCACCTGCTGCTTTCCCAGGCAGTGAGCAGGATTGGAAGTGGAGCAGGCAGGATTCGAACTGGCATACTTATAAGGGCCCGGCATGATAGCCTAACAGTTAAAGTCCTCGCCTTGAACATGCTGGAATCCCATATAGGTGCCAGTTCTAATCCCGGCAGCTCTACTTCCCATCCAGCTCCCATCTGTGGCCTGGGAAAGAAGTCGAGGACGGCCCAAAGCCTTGGGACCCTGCACCTGCGTGGGAGACCTGGAAGAAGCTCCTGGCTCCTGGCTTTGGATCAGCACAGCACCAGCTGTTGCGGCCGCTTGGGGAGTGAACCATTCTCTCTCTCTGTCTCTCTGTATATCTGCCTTTCCAATAAAAATAAAATAAATTTTTTTTTAAGTCATGAATAAGATTTTCCATATGCAAGATTCTGTAATCCACAAAGGTACTTGTACTTCCTCCTTTACCCTTAGATGCCTTCTACCTCTTTCCTTCTCCTAACTGTCCTAAACTGTCTTACAACTTAAGCAAGCTCAAAGTTGCATGCAAGCGGCAAGAGTGGAGGTTCTGGGGTTGGCACTGCCACCGCCAGCTAACTGCTTCTGGGGTTAACTGCCACTTGCAGTGCTGGCATCCCAGATGCTCCACTTCCAGATCCAGCTCCCTGCTCGTGCACCTGGGAAGGCAGTGGTCCATGTGCTTGGGCCCCTGCCACCCACATGGGAGATCTAGACAGACTTCCAGGGTGCGGCAGGCGTCGACCCGGCCTAGTCCTGGCTGTGTGGCCATGGGGGGGCGTGACCCAGAGGGTGGACCAGCTCTTTCTCTCCGTCTCCCTCTCCATCGGTAGCCCCAGCTTTCACACACATAGGCGATCTTTGTTTTAGAGACTTCCTTTTCGTGACAGACCTTCACGGGGCACTCCGTCTCGCCATCCTCATGAAGGATGGTGTGAGCTGTGCACTGCCGGAGAGCCTGTTAACCAAGATGGCCAAGTTTCCGTGTGTCACTAGTTTGATTTTTCTAGTTTTAAATCATGAAAAAACCTGCAATTGTTTTTTCCAATCTGCCTTTTTGAAAAACTGAGTATTCTTGGGTAAGACAAAGCTAACCATCGTCTTCTGAGTGGCTGTGGAGTGACTGTTTAACCACATTGGAGGAAGCCTCCTCGGGCCTGTGGATGAGCTCTTACTTAACCAGCACAGACTCCTGGGAGGCGGGCTTAGGGGCCACGCACACGATCAACCCAGCACCCCACCTGCCGGTTCTCGGCACACAGCAGGGCACACGTGGAAGTCCTAGATCTACCACCAGCCATGGAGCGGGGCTCTGCCGCCGGGCAGCTGCGTCTGGCCACTGCTGCACATGCTCTCTCTCATGGGTAAAGTGCTCTAAAAGTGGCAGGCAGGGGGCTGCCGGTTCGAGTCCTGGCTGCTCCACTTCCCATCCAGCTCCCTGCCTGTGGCCTGGATAAGCAGCAGAGGACGGCCCAAAGCCTTGGGACCCTGCACCTGCATGGGAGACCCGGAAGAGCTCCTGGCTCCTGGCTTCAGATCAGCTCAGCTCTGGCCATTGCAGCTGCTTGGGGTAGTGAATCACCGAACGAATGATCTTCCTGTCTCTCCTCCTCTTGGTATATGCGCCTTTCCTATAAATTAATGAATAAATAAACAAATAAATCTTTTTAAAAAAACCAACCCTCAGAAGGGTGGCACTGGTTGGCTTCCTCCTCCCACTCTAACGACAAGCTGATCATCCCTCACAGTGACCAGAGATGAGATGAGGCAATCACCTCTCCTAGCTTTGTCAAATCTGCCCCTTTGTCCTCCTCAAGGGGAGAAGATCTTGAAAGAAATGTGCTCTTAGTAAAAACTGAGGCCCAGCACGGTAGCCTAGAGGTTAAAGTCCTCCCCTTGCAAGTGCAGGCATCCCATATGGGCGCCAGTTCTAATCCAGCTGCCTGCTTGTGGCCTGGGAAAGCAGTGACGGACAGCCCATAGCCTTGGACCCTGCCCCCACGTAGGCGACCCCAAAGGGGCTCCTGGCTATGGATTAGGTCAGCTCTGGTCATTGTGGCCATTTGGATAGTGAACCGGCAGATGGAAAAGCTCTGTTTCTCTTTCACTCAGTTAATCTGCCTTTCAAATAAAAATAAATCTTGATTAAAAACAAAACAAAACTGTGTTCTAGGAGGTGGGGTCAACAGGACTGCCTCTCCTGCCCCAGGTGCTGCTAGCGCCCCTAACCGGTTTTCCTGGTCCGAGGGGAACTCCCCTCCCCCACCCCATGCTCTGGCAGGGCCCCATGCACACGCACCAGTTGCACATTTCTCAGTGAAAGCCCAGGGCCGCAGCTGCAGAAGGCCAGGACCCCCGTCCAGTGGCTTTTCCAGCTGTGCCACTCCAGCCACGCCCACCTCTTTCCCTCCTGGCCCCTCAGCTGCCAGACTTCAGACATCCCCGGTTCCTACCTCCCCTCCCCGCCCCGCTTTGCTCAAATGTCACTTTCTCCATGATCGGGTCAACTGCCTCAGGCACCTCTTCCCGCCCGCCCTCCGCTGCCCACATGTCAGTGTAGCCAAGCACTCCCGCTGGAGCAAGCTCACACGTCTGCACACTAACAGGATAAACCACTCATTTCCCTCACGGGGTGTGCAGCCAGAGGGCAACAGGTGTGAGGCGTCTGAGGAGAGCAAACAGGGACCCCAGCTGAGGCCCAGGCATGGGAAGCATGGCATCTGGCTGAAGCGCTGAACTCAGCAGGGGCCAGCGTGGACACAAAGCCTTCCAGGAAAGGATGGAGTGGGCCACAGGTGCACAAGAATAGACGTGTATGTGTGTGTGTGTGGAGGGGAGGCGTGCATCACTTAAGCACCGGCGTTGAGGAGTGGGTCAGGCTAAGACTGAAGGTGGGCACCGGAATGTTGTAGATGGCTTTATTTCGGGGTGAGGGTGGGGGCCACCTAGTTTACCAGGGAAACCTGGCTGGGATGGCTGAGAGGAACAAAGAGGGGGTTTGGAGGCGGGCTGAACCGATGCCAACCCCAGAACAGATCTTGAGTCCCGGTTACAATGGGGAATTAGCACCACCTGGCCGATAACCCTTACCGATGGTTACACCACATGATGAAGGAAGACGCAAGCAGGGGTGGTTAGCTCCCGGGTCAGTGAGCGGACATCCACCCGGACACAGCGCGGTCCCAAAGCCGGGGCAGCGGCGGCTGCGGCCCAGGACTGCCCTAAGGAGGTGGGCGGGCACCCGCGATCAACAGGGATTAGCAGCCTGTCTTCCCGTCCGTCTCCGGCCCACCTGCCTGCTTCTGCCCTTCGTGGCGCGGCCAGGATTCCAGAGGACAGACCGCGACCACCCCGACCCTGCACGCACGTTCCCGCCCTCCGGAGGAGCACCCAGTCCCGGCAACGCTGCCTGCCGCCCCCTAGCAACCACTCACCTGCTTCTCCCTCCCTATAGGCCAGGTTATTTCCCTTCCTTTTCTGATTGGTCCGCGTACCTTTATTGCAACCAATCAGAGCCAGCCACGGGACGGAACTCACTCCCACAAAATTGGGGATGTGTGTGTCGGGGGCGGGGGGAGCTCGGAGGAACCAAATTTGTCATTTTCTGGATCTATTTCTTTCCGGAGAACTTTCTTCATCTGCATGGGGCGAATCCCCTGGAATGGGGCGAGAAAGCATTTTCTTCTCCTTAGGCTCACCGTGAAGGCTGTCCCTTGGCAAACACCCCTCCTCTCCGGGTGGCACGGTCTGGTCCTCCGAGTCCCCGCGGCGGCGGGACCGTACCATCTGCCACTCGCGGGGGAGACAGGCCTCCAAGTTCCCTGAGCGCACGAGGTCATCCTTCCCGTCATCTCGTCCCGCCTTTCCCCGTGGGCCCACAGCCCCGAGACCGGGCTAAGACCACCGCTCCCGACGCCACCGAGGTCGCGTGAGCCGAGCAACGCCAGGGCGCACTTGGTACGACCCACGCCGCGCCCCGAACGGCCGCCACCGGCGGAAGTGAGGTGTCTGACCCCCCGAAGTTCCGGTTCGCAGGGGGTGGGGAGTGTTGTTAACCGGAGCGGCTGCCGCAGTCGCGGGGACCGAGCGGGCTCGCGGGGCGCGGAGCTCCTGGTGAGTGAGGCCGAGTCGGGCCCGGCTGGGCCAGGGGGCGTGGGGTCGGGGCCGGGACCCCTCCTGGAGCTCTCCCCGTCAGCTCCCCGTCGCCTGCCCGGGGCCTGTCAGCTGCCCGAGGACCCCGGGGCGCCGGCTCAGCCGCTGCCCCCGAGCCTTGAGGGGCTCCCCGACGCACACACCCCGCGGCGACCCTCGCCTCTGCTTGGGTGCCGACAGGTGCGCGGCGGCCAGGGCGCCCCAGGTGTCTCCGGGTCCCGCCACTGCACCCTGCTGGCCGGCCGTTTCTCGGGCGCCCCTGGTTGACCTCCCGAGGGAAGGGTTGGGGGCCGCCCGGGTTCCAGGGTTCCAGCAGGGTCTCCCACCCGCTGGCGCGGGGGGCGCGTCCGAGCCGCCCACCCGGGCACAGCTGTCACCGGCGCCGTGGTCTACGCCCACCCTGCGCGCCCCGCTGAGCTGTGGCCTCTTCCCGCCTCTAGAGCCCTTTTGTGTGTGTGTATTTTTTCCTTGCCTTGGCCTGGGCTCCCCCCACCCCGTACTCCCCAGCACCTTGACCGGTCGGTCAGTGCGGCCAGCCCCTCCCCTGCAACATCGCCCTCGTGGCCTCCCCAGAGGAGGCGGCAGCTTGGCAGGCAGCGTGAGTCGAGCCCTAGACTTGAAATCGGGGTTCCACGCGTGACATGGTGGTGATCCCTGAGCGCCACAGAGGCCCGGGTCAAATGAGTAAGAGGCCTAGGCTGTTTCTCACCTGAGGATTGTTGGTAGTGATTGGTAGTGTGATTGGCCCGCCTCATGCCTCCCTCCCGTCTCCCGGCTCTGCCTGGTGCCCTGCAGGGGTGGCACCGCGCATAGGCACTCCACGAGGTGTATTCCCCTTTCTTTCCCCCAAGCAGGTCTCGGGGGCCGGGGCAATGTTCCGCACCGCAGTGATGATGGTGGCCAGCTTGGCGCTGACCGGGGCCGTGGTGGCCCACGCCTACTACCTCAAACACCAGTTCTACCCGACCGTGGTGTACCTGACCAAGTCCAGCCCCAGCATGGCCGTGAGTTCAGGGCTGGGGGGGCGGGGATGGAGGGAGGAGCTGGCAGGGCCAGGGGCGGAGCCGGAGGTCAGGTAAGTAGGGGCCAGCCCGGCACCAACCGTCCCGCCAGATGCTGGAGTCCCTGGCGGGCACGTGGCGAGGATCCTGAGGCGACCTGTGGGGGAGGGCGGGATGTGAACCCCACACAGCCTTGCCCTCTTCCAGGTCCTGTACATCCAGGCCTTCGTCCTCGTCTTCCTCTTGGGCAAGGTGATGGGCAAGGTCTTCTTCGGGCAGCTGAGGGCCGCAGAGATGGAGGTAAGACAGCGGGGTCCCTGAAGTGCAGGGAGCCGGGCCAACCAGCTGGCTGGGCTCTACATGCTGATCTGCCCGACCCCCCAGCACCTTCTGGAACGTTCCTGGTACGCTGTCACCGAGACGTGTCTGGCTTTCACCGTTTTTCGGGATGACTTCAGCCCCCGCTTTGTGGCACTCTTCACTCTCCTCCTCTTCCTCAAATGTTTCCACTGGCTGGCTGAGGACCGAGTGGACTTTGTGAGTTGGGAGTGGGATGGGGAGAAGCAGGCCGGCCGAGCTGCACTGGGCTTGGGGGAGGTGGGCTGAGCCCCTAGCTCCCTGACGGGCACCCCGTGTTTGCCCCCCTCAGATGGAGCGCAGCCCCAATATCTCCTGGTTATTTCACTGTCGCATCGTCTGTGAGTGAGACCCACGGGAAGCAGGGGCAGGGGAGGGAGCTGGAGAGAGGAGAGGTTCCGGGCAGGCTGGGCCGTGGAGTGGGTACCCCGGAGCATTGCAGCGCCCTGCTGCAGCTGCACAGGAAGGCTAATTTTGGAGTTTAATTTGCATCACCTCTGTCCTGTTCCACTCCAGGGCTTCTCAACTGCTTGGGCCCGCTTCCACTGTCCCCCATTGTCCCCTGTGCCCTCCCCTGCCCAAGGCAAAACTGGAGTCTCCAAATGGCAGCTTGCATAAGTGTGCCCGCTGTAACTGGATAGCAGGGCTGCAGTGGGCCTGTTAGAGCAAAGAGGGGCTCTCCAGTCCTGGGCTGACCCACCCCCTTCCCCTGTATGGGGGTCCCTACAGCCCTTATGTTCCTTCTGGCCATCCTGGACTTCCTCTTCGTCAGCCATGCCTATCACAGCATCCTAACCCGTGGGGCCTCCGTGCAGCTGGTGTTTGGCTTTGAGGTAAGACTGGCCTGGGAGGGGGAGGCGAGCATGGAGTGGTACTGTGGACCTTGAACAACCCAGCTACAACACGCAATGGGCCACCTGCCCCACAGTCCCTCTCCTCACAGGCCAGAGAGGCCAGGGAGCCCCCTGCCACAGCTGGCTCTTGATGGACAGCTGGGAGGCATGTCACAGGCAGGGGCAGTGCAGAAGCTCAGCCACAGCTGATGACTGCTAGAGTCTTTATTTTTTTTTTTTTTAAGATTTATTTATTTTTATTACAAAGTCAGATATACAGAGAGGAGGAGAGACAGGGAGGAAGTTCATCCGTCCGATGATTCACTCCCCAAGTGAGCGCAACAGCCAGTGCTACACTGATCCGGAGCCAGGAGCCTCCTCCCGGTCTCCCACGCGGGCACAGGATCCCAAAGCATTGGGCCGTACTCAAATGCTTTCCCAGGCCACAAGCAGGGAGCTGGATGGGAGGTGGAGCTGCCGGGATCAGAACCGGTGCCCACATGGGATCCCAACACGTTAAAGGCAAGGATTTAGCTGGTAGGCCACGCTGGCGGGCCCAGCTGCTGGAGTCTTGCTACATGCCATGTCCCAGGCTGAGCTCCTGGCCCTGTGTGTCTGTCAGCAGGACAGCGCTGGGGAATGAGTGGCTGATCCTGCTCCAGCCCGGGCTCAGCTCAGTGCCCAACGTCACAGGCAGCGAGCTGAGTGGCTGGCAGGACACAGGCTGTGTGCCGTGGCCACAGGGCAGCTGGCTATGTGTGTGTCTCCCACTGCAGTATGCCATCCTCATGACCATGGTGCTCACCATCTTCATCAAGTATGTGCTGCACTCAGTGGACCTGCAGAGCGAGAACCCCTGGGACAACAAGGCCGTGTACATGCTCTACACGGAGCTGTTCACTGGTGAGAGGCCCTGGGGTCACTGCAGGCTGGCCCCGAGCCCCCCTTCTCCGCCCCCAGACAGAGCCTGTGACCAGCTGCTGCCCTCCCCCAGGCTTCATCAAGGTCCTGCTGTACATGGCCTTCATGACCATCATGATCAAGGTGCACACCTTCCCGCTGTTTGCCATTCGGCCCATGTACTTGGCCATGAGGTAAGCCCAGCCCTGTGTCCACCCCAGTAGGGTCCCCTGCCCCTAGCCTGCTCCGCCTCCACCTGCTCTCACCGACTCTACTTTCAGGCAGTTCAAGAAAGCGGTAACAGACGCCATCATGTCACGCCGGGCCATCCGCAACATGAACACACTGTGAGTGGCCATTCCTGACTGGCCTCGCCCCGAGCCCTGCCCCCTCCGGGCCTGACCCGTGTCTTGCTCTCCGCTGTCCCCCTCTCCCAGGTACCCAGATGCCACCCCAGAGGAGCTGCAGGCGATGGACAACGTCTGTATCATCTGCCGAGAAGAGATGGTGACCGGAGCCAAGAGACTGCCCTGCAACCACATCTTCCACACCAGGTGGAGCAGACCCTGCAGCCTGGGGCGGGTGGTGATCTGGGCACTCACTGACCGTCCCCCTGCCTGGTCTCGCCCCTTCCCCCAGCTGCCTGCGCTCCTGGTTCCAGCGGCAGCAGACCTGTCCCACCTGCCGGATGGATGTCCTCCGGGCATCACTGCCAGCCCAGTCCCCAGCACCCCCCGAGCCTGCAGATCAGGGGCAGCCTCCTGCCCCCCATCCTGCGCCCCTCTTGCCCCAACCCCCTAACTGTGAGTGTTGTTCCCCCGTGAAGCCGGACTGTACACTGCCTGGTCATGGGCTGGGGCTGGGTCCCCCCTTCACTACAGAAGACACGCCCCCTGTCCAGGAGTGACTTCCTTCTGCCCTGTCCTCTCTCCACAGTCCCCCAGGGCCTGCTGCCCCCTTTTCCTCCAGGCATGTTCCCACTCTGGCCCCCCATGGGCCCCTTTCCACCAGTTCCACCACCCCCCAGCTCAGCAGAGGCCGCATCTGCTCCGTCAACTAGCGCAGGTGAGCCTTGTGGGCAGAGGGGCCGCAGGCTGCAGCCACAGGCCCTGGGACCCAAGATGCTCACAGCTGCCTGTCCTCACTCCACAGCAGCCCTACCTCGGCCCAATGGGGCAGCCTCCACCACCGCCAGCAGCCCTGGTGACACTCCAGCCACCTCCACCCCAGCCCCTGGTGCTGGCCCGGCCCCTGGCTTCCCCTTCCCACCTTGGATGGGCATGCCTCTTCTGCCCCCCTTCGGTAAGTGGGACTTTGGGTCTCCCCTCCCCGACTCCCGATGGTTCTGGAAGGTGAGGAAGTGTTGGGCCCAGACAGCCCTGACTGGATCTTCACTCCCTGCAGCCTTTCCCCCAATGCCTGTTCCCCCTGCGGGCTTTGCCGGGCTGACCCCCGAGGAGCTTCGGGCTCTGGAAGGCCATGAGCGGCAGCATCTGGAGGCCCGGCTGCAGAGCCTGCGCAACATCCACACGCTGCTGGACGCTGCCATGCTGCAGATCAACCAGTACCTCACTGTGCTGGCCTCCCTGGGGTACGTGCATCCAACGGGTGCAGGACAGGGCACCTGAGGCAGACTGTTCCTAGCGTACCCATCCCTCCTCGCTTTTCAGAAGTCAAATATCTGCTCCGTCAGCATGCATAACCCAGCATCCCTGGCATGCACCTGGAGAGGCACCTGCCCTGTCCCCTCCACATGCCTGTCTCTCCCTTGGTCTATGACCCACCTTACCTCAAGTGGCCATACAGAGTGCCCAGCTCTGGCGCTGAGAGCACCAGCCCAGGGAGCCGAGTGCTGTAGGGACTCGGTGGGAGCCCTGTCAGGCTGCACAGGGGGCAGGCCAGCACTGACCAGTCCATGTGACCCTGTGGCCACACTCCTCGGGAACCCACTTTTATGTGTTCCCCCTTGTCCACCTGGCCCTGGGCTGCAGGAGCACATGGCACCTCTGCTCTGTGCAGCTCCCCCAAAGTTGAGACTGGGTGCTCAACATGCTCCCCTCGCCCCTTCTCCTTCCAGGCCCCCCCGGCCGGCCCCAGCACCAGTGAGCCCCACTGAGGAACCGGCCCCTCCCACGGCTGCCTCCACCCCCTCCACCTCCGTCAGCTTCCCCAGCACCACCGAGGCCTCCATCCCATCCCCTGGAGTGTCTCCAGCAGCCCCTGAGACTGCAAAAGCTCCAGGTAGGAGGGCTGGCCACAAGGGGAGAAGACGGGACTCGGGGGTTCCCATGGGTCCCACAGGCAGCCCTGCTGTCCCCAGCTCCCGAGTCCCTGGGCACCGAGGAGCTCCCTGAGGACGGAGAGCCCGACGCGGCCGAGCTCCGCCGCCGCCGCCTGCAGAAGCTGGAGTCCCCCGCGGCCCACTGACACTGCCCGGCCACCCTCACTGGACATGTCCTGCCACCAAGTGCCAGCGTCCTCTCTGTGTGTGCCAGGGAGTAGCCACCCCCCAGGCCCCCCACTGTGGGGCCCAGCCAGGGCCGGCCTTCCTTGCCTGCTCCTGGCCATGTGGTCCATGGGGGGACCCCGGGAAACAGAGGTTTCCCCATACCCTTTGGGAAGAGGCAGCCCGCTGTGTCCTGCTTGTGCGAGGAGTCACGCTGCAGTGCCGAACAGTATTTGCGCCGGTCCTCAAGTGTGGCCTCAGAAGGGCTGGGGACCACCTGCTGAGACTGCCACCTCCCCCCCATGTGTCCTGTCCTTGCCCTGTGCTCCCAAAAGCCTCTTGTGGCTGTGCCCCTACACCCTGTGGCATTTCCACGTCTTACTGGCAACCACACAGCTCAGGGAAAGGGAGTGCCTGGGGGGTGGGGGGCAGCAGCACAGGAGGGACCCTGCCCCCACCCTCCCCCAGGCCCTTTTCCCCCCCACCCTTCCCCACCCCAGCAGCTTCTCAGGTGAGACCCAGTGGCCGGCTCACCCAGCAGCCACTGCCCAGCCGCGGGCCGGGCCAAGCGGGTCAGGTCACCTGCCCTCTGACCCCCAGCTTAGGAAGGCCGCCCCCAAACTTGTAGAGCTTTTTCCAAGTGTGGATGCCCCAGAATCGCCTCACTTGGCATCATCTGAGCCAGAAGTTTTGGCCCAGGGACTGGGGGGGTGGGGTGCAGGGTGGTGGCCAGGTTCCTGGCTTCTGGGTTTAGAATAAGTGGCTCCCGTCCGGGCAGGGACCAGTGGAGCCAAGGCCTGCCCGCCCCATCCCCTCCCTTCCCCCTCGGTTTTGTGTTACAGAGTTGCTGGAGACAGTTTCAATGATTATTTAATTTGTAAATATTGTACAAATTTTAATAGCTTAAATTGTATATACAGCCAATAAAAACATGCATTAACACTTGGTGGAGCTGTTTCTCCAGGAAGAGCAAGGTCTCTGTGAAGCCAGCAGCATCCTTGGGGACCACAGGGCAGTCCTGGGGCCCTACCCTAGAGGCAAGAGTGACTCTGGGCAGTCGGGGCCTCGGCACTGCCCACTGCCCAGGGGAAGGAAGGGTAGAGGGGTTTTGAAGGACCACTCCATGCTGGGCACCCGAGAGGTTCAAACAGGAGTGGCACACTTCCCTGGAAAGCTAGTCAGGCCCAGCATGAGCTCCTGCTCCCACTCCCCCTCCAGGGATGGCGAGCCCAGGGCCTGACATGGGTACCTGGTGCCCTCATGTCTGGCACTGTAATGTCTAGGACCCAGGCCACAGCCCAGGATGGGGATCAGGGGTGCTCGCAGTGCCCGGGGGGCTGAGGGAGCCTGCCCTCCACTGGCACAAAAACCACCGGAGAGCGCTGGCATCTCAGAACAGGTATCTACTTGAGCAGTCTCCCATCTGCCCCCCAGAGGCCTGCAAGTCAGGGCTGGGCTGGGTGAAGCCAGGAGTCTGACTCCACTTGGGTCTCCAGCATGGGGTGGGGGCCTCCCAGGGTGCACCTTAGCCCCTTCAACCACAGTGCCTGTCCCATGGGGTTTTTTAACAATTTATTTTCATCTATTCAAAGGCAGTGCAGAGCCCTTACAATTTCAGTAATTGAGCCCCACATGAAGAGAAACCCACAGTGAGAGGAGAACCAGCAGCTAACAGCAAGATGCCAGCCTGGGGGTGGCGGGGGACACTGGCATGTAGGCTGCCCAGCTGCCTCAGAAGCCCTTCTCCACAAGCCAGGCTTTAAGCTGCTCGTCAAAGTAGCCCTTGACCCGCAGGCTCCCTGTCACCTCGTTGACCTGAGTCACAGGTGTGTGCCCCAGCAGTGGGGTCAGGAACTCTTCCACGTCCTTCTGCAGCGCCTACAAGAACATGCGACCTCAGGCCAGGAGCCCCGGGCCCTGCCCAGCCTCCGGGCGCCATGGCCACTTACCCAGATGTCCCCCTCCACCTTGCGGATCACAGTCATCTGCCGGTTACCGTGCGTGATGTCCTTGTACACAGGGACGTTGTGCAGCCGAGAACGCCGCACGAAGTAGGGCAGGTCAGGGAGGGGGTCTGCGAGAGAGGGACCACCATGGGGTGACACTTCCAAGGCTTGAGCACCCCCACCACCACCGCAGGAGGCAGTCCAGCTCAGGGGCTGCAGCCTCTGCACCAGTCTACAGTCGGCGCCAAATTATTCCCTTTGGTTTCCCCCCCCACACACATTGCAGCCAGCCCTTCCCCGTCTCGGCTGGGTGGGGGAGACCCCACTGGATCTGGGGTCTCCAGCTGGAGCTGGAGCTGCCAGCCTGAGGGTTCTCAACAGCCAGTCCTGAACCTGCTGGGTGGAGGGTGTCCCCCCAGCTCACCTCTGGGAGGCTGCCAGCCGCTAGGGGTGGGGTACTGTTCATGCTTTGGGGGTTTGGGGATGCTGGTGGGAGGTAACAGGCGCTCCACAAACCGGTACTCTTCCTCTGATTCCACAAAGCCAGGCTGAGCCGGAGGCCCCAGGCTCTGAGAAGACAAAGTCACGTGTGGCTATCAGCCCGGGCAGCACCAACACGGGAGAGGCAGGAAGTTCATAGACAGGGACACCAGGCAGGCAGAGGGGTTAAAACAAAAGCTGGAGGCAGGAAGTCGGATTTCCAGCTCTAGGGGTGCAAGGCACAGGGGGAACCCCAAAAGCAGCCTAGGGGCTCTGCACGAGGCATTTTCAGCAACCCTGCTGTCCACCAGGCCCACCGGGATCTCGGGGCGGCATTCAGACCCTAACCGGCACTGCTGCAACGATCAACCGGGCGTGTTACTAACGCCCTTCTGAGCTAGGACACGGCGCCCAGCTTCTCGCACCGCCTGCCCGCTCCCCGTGCATCGGCTGCCGCGCAATCGGGCAGCGAGGGCCGCTAAGCAGCTTCAGGGCGAATCTAGAACCGACGCCCCCGACCGGTGCACGGAGAACACCCGCGAGCCCCACGCTCAGCCCGGCGCTCGCTCACCAGCGGCCGCAGCCCGCAGCCCGGCCACCCGCCGGGTCGCCAGCCCCGAACGGCCGCCCGCACTGCACCCGCCGCCGCCATCGCCCGACGGCAGGCACAGCCTGTCTGCGCACGCGCGGAGCTCGGCACGGAAGCAAGCACGCCTGCGCAGAGCGGAACGGGGCGGGGCTCCAGGTCGGGGCGAGGTGGACGCATCGCAGTGACGTGCACGGGCGGCGCTCCGCAGTGACGCGACACGTCGCAGGTCCAGAGTGCGTGCGCGCCCTCGCCTCTTCCTCTTTCTCGGCTCCATCTTGGTGGCGGCGGCGAGAGGTTCCGCGGCTCGGGTGAGCTGGGGGCTGCGGCGGCTGCAGAGGCCGCGAGGTCGGGGCGGACGGCGAGCGGGGCCGGCCGAGCAGCCGGGCCCGCCGTGTGTGTCGGGCTCCGGTTCCCAGGGCGTCCCTCGCTCGGGCCGGGCCCTCCCCACGTGCCCCTTCCTCCGGGGCGCCCCTGACTCTTCCCCTCTCCGGTTCCTAGGTCTCACACACGCGCCGCCTTGCTTCGCCAGTCGCCGACATGCAGCTGTTCGTCCGCGCGCAGGAGCTCCACACCCTCGAGGTGACCGGCCAGGAGACGGTCGCCCAGATCAAGGCTCATGTGGCTTCCCTGGAGGGCATCGCCCCGGAGGACCAGGTCGTGCTGCTCGCGGGCACCCCGTTGGAGGATGACGCCGTCCTGGCCCAATGCGGGGTGCAGGCCCTGAGCACGCTGGAGGTGGCCGGACGCATGCTGGGGGGTGAGTACGGCTGGGGGTGCACGGCCCCGGGAGAGAACGGGGTGCATGGCTCCGGAGGGCGTGGTAGGATTCAAGGCTAACCAGATGCCGAAGCGACATTGCTTTAAGGTTAAATCTTGGTTACCAGTTGGGGGACACCCCAGGTCTGACTTGGGGAGCGGCTTGTGACTGGTGGTCTCTTTAACCCTGCCGTCTTCTACCGACAGGTAAAGTCCACGGCTCCCTGGCCCGCGCGGGGAAAGTGCGAGGTCAGACTCCGAAGGTGAGTGGGGTCCCTAGTTGTGGGGAGCCCCAGGAGGGCCGGGCAGGGCCGGGAGGGGTTTGACCCGCCCCCTTCTCTGCCTAGGTGGCCAAGCAGGAGAAGAAGAAGAAGAAGACAGGCCGGGCCAAGCGGCGCATGCAGTACAACCGGCGCTTCGTCAACGTTGTTCCCACCTTCGGCAAGAAGAAGGGCCCTAATGCCAACTCCTAGGGTACCCCGGCAGCCCCGGCACTAATAAAACTGCTTCACCCACTCCCTTCATGCTTGCGTGCTCATTTGCTTGGGGTGGGGGGATGGTGTCGCTTGCGTTCCGGAGAAGTCTTGTGAGAAAGTGGGAGCCAGCGCTCGGTGTGTGGGAAAAGCATCACAGGCTGGTTGTCCCTGAAAGGGAGGCAGGCCGTTCTGGGTGGGACAGCCCTGTGCTCCAGCGGGGGACGGAACGGGCTGGGCAGGTGCTGGCTGCCCTTCCCTGCACTTGGAGCCAGCCCATGGCCTTGGTTTAGTCCAGAGACAGCCTGTCCGCTTCACCCTTGGACCTTTGTGCCTTGATTGGCTGATCATGTGTCTAATTGGCTAACTGAGTAATTGCTCCAGGGTCCGGACAAGAGGCCCTTGGGGGCAGGATCTAGAGGGTATGTGTGTTTTGTGGTGTACATTGAGGAAACGGGATACTCTACAGCCTTCAAGAAAGTGGGGCTCCCTGTGAGAAAGGGGCTGAGGAGTGCGTGGACAGTTCCCAAGGCCCTGGGGTGTCCTGTCACAGCGCAGCCACACTGCAAAGGCTGCACTCTGCTTGGTGGTCTGTTGCCATGACCAAGCACAGACCCTGTGAGTTCTCGGCTGTGGAGGCCAGGGTCAGCCAGCTGCTTCTGAGAGCTCATCAGTGCTTGAAAGGATCCATCCCGGCAGGGTGTTCCTGGGGCCAGGGAAAGGGTGTGTTTAAAAGGATCACAGAAAGGAAGAGAAAAAAATCCCATTTGCTGATTTTCTCCTCCAAAGAAGCCAGGAGCTTATCCCAGCTCAGTCGTGCAGGGACTTGGGCCATGCTTCCCGGCTTTCATAGGCCATGAGCAGGGAGCTGATTTGGGAAGTGGAGCAGCAGGGACACTAGTGGCTGAGACCCTCTTGTGCCATTGAGCAGGTGAGGTGCGGGTAGGCAGCTGACCTGGGGCCAAGATGCCCGCGTCCCTCTGCCTGTTGGGACCAGGGTTAACTTCCCATGCTGATCCCTGGGAGGTTCAAGTGTGAGTGTTTCAGGAGAGATTCGGACCCTGCCAGAAGTCCAAGTGCAGTGTGGTAAGGCTTGCGGCCTTATTGGCTGGGGTGGGGGGCTGGCAGGTGGCAGCAGGGGTTAAGCTGCTGGCAAGTCCATTCCTCCCGCAGCTGCCTGCTAAAGCCGCTGAAAAGGCAGCAGATGAGGCCTCCCTCTATATTTCTGCTTTTGAATAAATAAATACAGGAAAAAAACACCAAGATGTGAATCTGATGAGGTGGTGGCCATCTTGGTGGGGAAGTAGAGTTTCATGGTAGATGAGAATCTTGGCGGTCTTAATTTTATTTCAAGGCTAATCCCCATGCAAGGCTCACTCTAAACCCCCAGCGGCCTGGGCTGGGAAGGAAGCAAGGATGAGACATGGCCCACCCACAGGCCAGGAGCCCAGGCCATTATTCAGGTGGGGGACACTCAGTCACTCCTGCCTTCCACCCCCAGGGGTGCTGAGTCTCACTCTGGCCATCCCAGGGATGTTGGCCTTGAGCCCACACGTCTTCAAGGTGTTTTTATTTTTATTGGAAAGGAAGATTTTACAAGACAAGAGACATTATCTTCCATCTACTGGTTTACCCCCAAGTGGCTGCAACAACTGCTAGAGCTGAGCCTATCTGAAGCCAGGAGCTTCTTCTGGGTCTCCCACACACGGGTGCAGCGTCCCAAGGCTTTGGGCCGTCCTCTAGTCCTTTCCCAGGCCACAAGCAGGGAGCTGGAAGGGGAGTGGAGCAGCTGGAATAGGAACTGGCATCCATATGGGATCCTGGCGCTTGCAAGGGGAGGATTAGCTAGATGAACCATCGCGTGAGCCCCAATTTGTTCTTTAATTTGCCAGTGTCCCCTAGACAAGCTCAGGACACCAGGAACCCATCTAGTCTCCCAAAGGTTGGGCCTAGTCGGTGCTTACTAATGATTTCTGCCAGTGCGGTTGGCCGAGTTAATTTGTATTTTGTGGCAGTAGTGACATTTTGGTGTGACCACTAGGGAGCGAGCAGGAACCAACGAGATATTCGCCTCCTATTCTGTAACCGGCAACTGCGCTTGCGTCCCAGGGCTCCTCGGGGAAAGGGAGGCTGACTTGGCTTCCAAGTGAGGGCGGAAGTCGCCGCGAGTCCAGGCGGAAGTAACGGAAGCCGCGCCAGACGCTGACTCGCACGCGGCGCCCGTTGCCATGGAGCCGGCCGGGCCGTGCGGCTTCTGCCCGGTGGGCGAGACTCGGCCTGCCCGCTACACCTGCCCGCGCTGCAACGTGCCCTACTGCTCGCTGACCTGCTACCGGGCGCACGGCTCCTGCGCCGAGGACTTCTACCGCGACCAGGTGCTGGGCGAACTCCGCGGCCGCAGCGCCTCCCCCAGCCGCCTGGCCAGCGCCCTGCGTCGGCTGCGTCAACAACGCGAGGCCGAGGACGAGCCCGAGGAAGTCGGCCTCAGCCCGGGCTCGGCGCCCGGCGGCCTGACGGGACTCTGGGAGCGCCTGGCGCCCGCCGAGAAGGCCACCTTCGAGCGGCTGCTGAGCCGAGGCGAGGCCGGGCGCCTGCTGCCCCCGTGGCGGCCGTGGTGGTGGGGAGATGGCCGCGAGGACGGACGTCGGCTCCTGGAGGAGGTGGAGGAGGCGGCGGGGCCGGGGCCTGAGGACGGGCCGGGGCCTGGGGACGAGCCTGCGCCTGGGGACGAGCCTGGGGACCAGCCTGCGCCCTGCCCGGTGCCCCCCGTGCCCGCCCGCATCCCGGCGCTGGCCAGCCTGAGCCGCGGCCCGGCCTCGCCGCTCGTGCGCTTCCAGCTGCCCAACGTGCTGTTCGCCTACGCGCACGCCCTGGCCCTGTACCACGGGGGCGACGACGCCGCGCTGCTGCCCGACCTGGGCGCCACCCTGCTCGGTGTGTCGGGGGCCCTGGGCGCCCAGCAAGTCTTCTCCTCCTGCGAGGAAGCCCTGCAAGCCGCCGCCCACGTGCTGGAAGCCGGCGAGCACCCACCGGGGCCGCTGGGCACTCGGGGTGCCATGCAAGAGGCCGCCCGCATCCTGCTGGGCCGTGGCCAGGCTCAGCAAAAAAGCTACACGCTGGCAGCCCTGGGGCACCTGGCCCAGACCCTCGGCCGCGCCCGCACGCGGACCGCGGACCCCCAGGAGCGCGAGCGCCTCTACCGCGCCCGGAAGAAGTGCCAGTACCTGCTGGCCTGGACCAACGAGAACGAGGCGGCCCTCACGCCCCTGGCCCTGGACTGTGCCCGTGCCTACCGAGCCCACGCGGCGGCGGCCGAGGAAGTGGCCGCGCTCACCGGCGAGCTGGAGCGGCTCTGGGGCGGCCCTGTGCCACCTGCGCCCAGGACACTCATCCAAGAGCTCCCTGGCTGAAGGCGGGCGTGGGGATCGCCAGGCCGGGAATAAAGCTGTGCTAAGTCACCCTCCTGGCCTGGTCCTTTTGGAGTGACGGCTATTGTCCCGCCCATTGCCCCCAAGCCATCTCAGCTTGGCGCTGACGCACGTTGGCCCCCCCAATGAAACAAGCACAGAGAAAGTTCAGGGTGTTTATCCAAAGGAGACCCTGACTTCTCTGGTCTTCCCTGAGGCTGGCGGACGAGCTCCGGGCTCCTGGTCCTGCGGAGGAGGGTGGCAGGCGAGGCGGCCTCAATAGACATAGGGCAGGATGCGATGGGGCACGCGGCGGCAGTACTCCTGCCAGGCCCGGCCGTACTTCTGCCGGCACTGCCGCTCGTCCCGCGCCTCCCGGTGCACCAGCAGGGCCGTGAAGTAGAGGATATAGAAGTAAGGCAGCAGGTGGGACAGCCCTGGGGGAAGCGGGGCTCTCGTCACTGCCCGCCTCAGTGCTGACGGGCCCTACCCCCGCCCACCCCACCCCACTCAGCTGCTCACCGCAGGGCAGTGACCAGGCCAGCGCCATGATGAGATCCCCAAGGTAGTTGGGATGGCGGACCACCCCCCACCAGCCGGACACGAGCAGCCTCCGCCCCGTGGCTGTGGGGATGGTCTCCAGGCCTGTGGAAAGGCAGGTGATGGGGCTTGGGAACTCTGCAGGCGCCCCGCAGCCCACTCACCTGGGAGTGTCACCCAGCTCACCCGCCACGCTGGGGTCAGAGGGATTCTTCCGGAAAGTGTTCTTTTGAGAGTTAGCCCCCCGAAAGATGTAGTAGCCGATAGCTGGGGGGAGGGGACAAGATGAACAGGTGGTCAGGACCAAAGGCCACCCTGACCCTGCCTGCCCACCCCCTGGGGACCACCCCCACCTAGTGCACGCTGAGTGAACTGAATGTGAGACTGAGGAGGGGAAGTGACGGCTCATGGGGCCCCTTCCCCACTGACCATTGAGGAGGCAGATGGCTCCCGCCGCGGGTAACCCCAGGGGCTGCGGGTGGTACAGCAGGAACTGTGCCTGCAAGCTGTAGGTGAAGGGAACCCACGCCAGGTCCCCGAAAGCCAACATGAAGCCAAAGCCATCGTGCGTGATGTCCATGGTGGTGAGGACGGCCTCCTGCGGGCATGCAGTGGCTTAGTCCACACCATGTCCTGGGACGCCCCTGGCCACCCTGCCCACTGCAGCCTCACCTCGTACCACAGGGCGTCTGCCACGTAGAGCAGCTGGAAGCCATTGACCAGCCACATGGCCAGGGAGGGGCTGCCCCGCAGCTTCGCCTCCTGCAGCAGCAAGGCCAGGTTGAGCAGGACCTGGGGACACGGGGACAGGGCAGTCACTCTCAGCAGGGTCAAGCCACCCCCTCTTCTGCAGCGCTGTCCTCACGGTCCCTCCAGCCCCTCGGACACAGGGAGGGGCATGAGCCACTCTGGAGGTGGCCCTGCCTGTGGGATCCCGCCCCTCCTTGCATGGAGAACAGGGTGCCCAGGGGCCCTGTTTTGTGGAGCTGAGGACTCCCCAGTCATGTCATGTTGGGGGTACCTGGCTCACAGGAAATGCCAGTGGGGCTGCCCTGGGCATCTCATTGGTCTAGCCCTGAGCTCAGGGTCACCCTTGAGGTCAGCTCCAGCTGCTAAGCCTCACAATCTTAGGGCACAAACGAGGTGCCTGCAGGCAGCCCAAGACCCTGACCCAGGCTGGGCACTCGGCACCCCTGCCCATGGGCGAGGTGATTCACAGGAGTGTGGGTCCCTTCTGGTAACCTTGACTGTAGCCCAGCAGACATGATTGTTAACCAGATACAAGCAGAAGGGCCAGGGCTAACTTAGGTCCTGACCACCAAGCAGTATATGACCACCCAACCTGACCCCTGACCGCTACCTCGACACCTCGCATGCCCTCCTGACCCCCACCCACCTACTGCCCTCCCCTCGTGAATATGCAGTGGATTAAAAAAAAAAAAAACCTCAGCCCTCTATCTGGAAGGTAGGTTCTACGAGACATATATGCCATTATTTTCTTTCCCATTTGTCTGGTCCTCAGCACCCTTGCTGGGGGTGGGGGAGGGTACGTGGTGGGTGGACGAGTGTTAGTGGAAGCTGTGAGTGATTCATGACCTCTGTCCGTAAGTGACCCCTCCTGCCCATTTTGGAGGCTTCGCACACTGCCTCCCCCAGCCCGAGGCCAGCCCGGCTCAGCCCTGCCCAGCATACCCAGCCGATGAGGCCAGGCCGCAGCTCACAGAAATACTTGAAGTCAAAGGAACCGATGCGAGGGTTGAGTTCCCGTCCCAGGAAAAAGTCATAAATGGGATTGCCTGGAGTTGATAAGAGGAGGGTGAGGGGACAGGCAGGGCATCCCCTCTGCCAAGGTCAGGGGTCAGCCTTCATTTCCAGCCCCTGCTGGGGTCCTCGCTCACCTGAACTCCCCCCAGGGGCCAGGGCGGAAGCGGGGGCTAGCTGAGCCTTCAGATAGAGAAGCAGACTTAAGATGAAGGCGGTGAGGGTGGCCGCGAATGCCAGGGGCAGGAGCATTTCCGGGAGCGCCCCCAGCGGCAGGCCGGCTGCAGCCCCCAGCCCCACCAACAGGGCTGTCAGCACCAGCGCCTGGAAGCCTGTGCGGGGACACGCGGTGAGCCCGGGGCGCGCCCCCTCCCACAGTCCAGGGTTCAGGCTGTCCCAGACGTCACCTAGCCCTGGGCTGCCCTCCCTCCCCCGCGCCCTGCCCGAGCGCAGCCGCACACTTGGTGGGGTTGTGGGGATACCCCGCGCGTCTGCCCTGGACCCTCCCTGCTGCTCCACCCGACACGGCTGCCCCAGGCACCATTAATGGGGTAGCGCAGGCGACTCTTGTCCTTCAATTCCAGCCCCTCGGCCACCTGCAGGTTTAAAGAGGGGCCCTGGTGAGGCTGTGGGCGGCCACCCCCCACCCGCCCACCTCCCGCCAGCCGAGCCCCACACCTTGCGCGCGGGCAGCAGGTAGAACGCTGCCTGCAGACCGAGCCAGGCGAGCACCAGCAGCAGCGCCCGCGGGCTCCAGAGCGTCTCCAGCCCGGGCAGGTAGGGGGGTGGGCCCAGGAGGCGCGCCGGGCCGGAGCCGGCCACCAGCAGCAGGTGGAACATGGTGCCAGGCAGCAGCACCAGCAGCGCCGCGGCGCCTGGGGGAGGGAAGGGCTTTGCGTCGGGCGTCCCCAGCCTCCGCAGGGAAGCTTCCATTACTAGCGCTCGCTCCTGTCACCCTGCTCCGTAGCGCTCAACTGCTGCGCTGCTTCCTGAACCCATCGTGGTCCCCAAGTCCCCTCCAAGACCCTCAGGTCCCTGTACCTTACAGGCCTCCACCCCACGGCTGCCGGAGTGCTGCAGCCCCCCCCCAGCCACCCTCACCCTGCCGTCCTCCACACTCCCCCAGCCTCCGTGCTCAGACCCCGTCCCGCCCCCGCCGGTAGCTCTTAGCGTCTGTTCCCCTCTCCGCCCCGTTACCCAGGGGTCCCCCGAATTCCAGCGGGGCCTGGGAGCCCTGAGGTGGGGCCATGGTCTCGGCGTTGTCGGGGACCGGGGCTCACAAAGGCTGCCCGCCCATGGGGCCCGCTGAGCCTGCACCTGTCTTGCCACAGCTTGGCAACCGATAAGCCTTATAAAGCGACGCGCCCCCTGCCCATCGTGGGCCCAGCACACCAGCAAATCGGCTGCCGGGGGCGGCCGCAATGCAAGCCACTCAGTAGCCTCCGACTCTAAGCCCCACCCCCACCAAGTCCCGCCCCAGCCAGTGACATGGAGGAGGCCACACGGGTTTATTATGGGGATTCAGACACTCGCCCGCTGGAGAGGGCTGCGCCTAGGCAGGCCAGGCTGGGGCTGCGGGGCTGGCCAGTGCCTCAGCAGCGGCTGTGCCTAACCACGCTCGCAGATGACCTCGACGACACTGGGCTCCATGGGCACTGGGTCTGGGCAGCGCAGGGCGGCTGAGGCCACCACCTCATCCAGCAGCAGGTGCACGAGCTCCTCGTCGGCCACGAAGCGCCACAGGTAGAGCTGCAGGAAATGGCAGTCCACCTGCACCTGCTGCAGCCCATAGCGCCCAAAGGTGCGCAGCCGCACACACTCGAGCAGCGTCTTCAGGCTGATCTTGATGATGCCAGTCAGCACAGACACCTGCAGGCAGGGAGGGAGAGGGACACGCAGCTCAGAACCAGCAGCTGCGGAGGGAGTCCCAGGGCCCAGAGAGGAAGGAAGGGGGAGTGAACCGGAGGGCCCAGCAGCCGGAGGCAGAGAAGGAGGGGACCAGAATCAGTAAGGAGCAGGAAGGAGTCCCTGGGAGGAATCAGGGCATCTGTGTGGGGAGACCATGGCGGAGGCCAGACCCTGAACGGGGCCAGGGGGCGCTGGCGAGCGGCTCCAGCCACTAGAGACAGGTCGTGGTGGTGTGAGGCTGCTCCACCGCCCTCCCTGGCTGCACACCTTGTTGAATTCCACAGGGCTGAACACATCGATCCGCTCAGAGAACAGCTTCTGGATGTTGCTTAGCAGGTTGGTGTCCATGGGCGCACTGGATGTGTTGGGGGGAAGACGGGGGAGTCACGGGCCACCCTGCACCCCTGGCCTCCTGGCCGCTCGCCCTGTGCCTCGCCCGCCCCCGCAGACCTGGGCGTGTAGCTGGGTGCGTAGCGGCCCTGCTGCCGGGAGCTGCTGTACACCGAGAAGGTTCTCTTGCTCGAGTCGCTGCTCTGCGCCTTGCGGACGCCCTCCTCGTACAGGAGCCCCACCTGGTGGCCAGAGGAGGTACTGCAGCAGGCACCTGCAGCCCCCGCGGGGGCCTGGGGACCCTCACCCCTTCACCACTGCTGGGCCTGTGTCTACTGGGGCGGGTTCAGTATGTCTGGAACTGACCACGTGGAGTGGAGTGGGGCAAAGGCAGGCCCCAAGAGTGCTCTGGGCCCCCATCTTCAGCCCCAGCCCAAGCTCCCCACTTGGTAGATTGGGGTGATGGTGTCCCCAGTCAGGCACTGTGGGCACGGGCAGCTGGGCCCTTCCGT